CTGAATTTCACTATCTATAATCCATCATAATAACTCCTGTATAGCAGTCCCACAACATTCGACATTCGATGACACTGGAATACCCTGTCAGAAAAGTCTAGTAGCTAGGAATGGGCTTTTTACAGTGTCTGCTACATTGTTAATGTTGTTTTTGTGTGTTTACATAGATTAATATAGCCACGTTGTAAATGTGCAGTATAGTTACGATCTTATTGCCACAATATATCATCATGATAACATAATATATGCCTTCAGTGATTTCAGAAGTTTACATATACTGTATAAAAAGGCACATAACCATAAAAAAAAAAAAGTCAGATGTTAATGTGCCTAAACTTTTTCTCTTTTAGGTAAGTTAGGATTACCACATTTGTTTCTGTTATGCTTAATGGCAGAATAATGAGAGAGAGATTTTTTGAGAAATTGTTATAACTCTTCTTGAAAGTCAAGTTTGCATACAATAAGATTATTCTGCCTCTGAAAAAGCTGAGATGATGGTGTCAAGGTTTTGGAAGTTTCTGATTGGCTAATTGACAACATTTGAGTTAATTAAAGGCACAACTGTAGAATAGTATCTAAGGAAAACCTCAGAGACACTGCTTCCTTGTGTGACAACATGGGAAAATCTAGAAGCCAGAATCAACAAAAAAGACAGATTACAATTTGTTAAATTACACTGGGAAAAAGATTTTCATTTTTAGAGACATGTGGTCTGATAGAACTAAGATTGAACTGTTTGGCCATAATGACCAGTGTTAAATTTGGAGGACAAAGGGAAAAGCTTACAAGCCTAGGAACACCATCCCAACTGTGAAGTAAGGGGCGGCAGCATCATGTTGTGGGGCTGTTTTGCTGCAGGAGGGACTGGTCCACTTTACAGCATAGATGGCATCATGAAGAAAGAGCATTATGTAGAAATACTGAAGCAACATCTCAAGACATCAGCCATGAAATGAATACTTGGCCACAAATGGGTCTTCCAAACGGACCATGACCCTAAGCATACTGTTAAATTAGTTAAAATGTGCTTTAAGGACAACAGAGTGAATGTTTTGGAGTGGCCATCACAAAGCCCTGATCTCAACCCTATATAAAATTTGTGGGCTGAGTTGAAAAAGCTTGTGTGACGAAGACAGCAAACAAATCTGACTCAGTTACACCAATTCTGTGAGGAGAAATGAGCCAATATTCCTTCAAACTATTGTGAGTAGCTTGTGGAAGGATACCCAAAACATTTGACCAAAGTTATACAGTTTAAAAAATGCCAAGGAAATGTATTTAAACTTTTGACTGTCTAGAAATTAATACAGACCTAAAAGAGTAAACGTTTAGTATGATTTAACAACAGACATTTAAAAAAAAAAAAAATGGTTATTGTTCCTTTTTTAGTGTATGTAAACTTCTGGTTTCAACTGTATGTTGGGGTATTTTTAACCCAACTATTTTACCAGAGTAGCAAACAAAATGAAATTGAAAATGAAAGTCAGAAATGTGACTCCAACAAATACTAGTCATTTTAATAATGTTAAAGAGGTTTCATATGTATTAATTAGATTATAATCTTTACTATTTAGGTGGAATGCAGTTCACTATTCTGTGCTTTTGAATGTCTGGTATGTAAATGCTTCTGTCATGTCACGTTGTGGTGCAGACAGCCTAGTTGTTTGACGCTGTGTAGGACACAGTGTTAGATGGATGATGTTATAGCAAATACTAAGAAAAGACTATAAAATATGCAAATAGAATATGTCACTCGTAAAGTTTTGAATGGGGAAACGTGTAACATCAATATGGCGAATGAAGCCCCTCCTTCCTAAAGGAGCCAATCATCAATTGCTATAGGCTGACGATTCTCCAGGGGAGGTGCTCGGATCAGACGTGAGTTTCTGCAGATTTTTAGTGATTGAAACGTTTAGAAATTAAACTAAAGGGATAATTATATTGGTTATTCCTCATAATTTAACTTTAATCATAAGGTTGGCGGGCAATTT